TACAGTCGGTTTTACCCAATCACTGACACAGCTATTTGATAGTTTTTGTCTAGTTCGTTGTATTATGTGCAGAGATGGTGTATTATACTGGATATGAGAAATAACTTTCAGCCATGTAATCTACAGCACCTGTAAGGACGGACGACGCGTGGCATATGTGGCCTGCGTTGGGTGGGAACTCTAGGCAATGTTAACCGCCATACTAGACTGCACGTTCAGTGAGCTTGGTTAGGATTTGCCGCTGATATGGGGGGTGGAGCGGAACTGTCGAGGTAGTTAAAGCCACGGACGAACCCCAGCCACTACGACGTTCATGCCAGATTTCGAGTAGAGGCAGGAGAAACTGGACGCCAGTGAGGAGAGTAATGTATAATGATCGGGGCTGCTGACCGATCGTTCTTACGGAACTCACTCGTTCCGTTGTGCCTTACAGGCTCTCTCTCTCTCTCTCTCTCTCTCTCTCTCTCTCTCTCTCTCTCTCTCTCTCTCTCTCTCTCTCTCTCTCTCTCTCTCGAGCCCAACCAGAATCCGCACAATGGCGCATGCTATAGACAGTATGTTATTACCGACAAAGAGTAATTTATTCTGTGCAGAATGGATGAAGAATAGACTGGAGTTGGTTAGCAGCCGGACAAGGGCCCACGCCAGGCCGCGCCAGAGCAGGTACTCGAGTGCAGCAGGCGTCGGAGCTCCTTGAGCGAGGGCATGTCTGAATCGGCCTTGAAGTTGTTTGACCGGTTTGGGCAGCTGTGATTAGCTGCGAGTCGGACTGCCTCTGGTAGGCGCGCGGGAGGCGCAGTGTAGTAGCCGACTACCGGAGTATGTTCACAACAGGACTGATTCGGATTAGATTCAGCGCCCATTTATTCACTGTAAACAAACAAACGTACTTTAAGACTACCACGACGCCCTTACAGTTGCGGCTTGGAAGAGGCGGCTGGCCCTCCCACTGACTGAGGGTTAGATTGCAGTGATCCCTTCTTAGTGTCGGTTTTACGGCATTGTCATTCATTTGCGATGCGAGACACCCTCCTTTAGTTTAACCCTTGTTGCGTGGAATCGGAAACCAGAAGGTGGGTGTGTGTGATACGCAATAATCACTGTGCCCACGTTTATCCGCAGTTATCTTGACTCCATTTTCATAAGAATTTGATACGTGTGGTGAGATAGAGCGAGACGAATGCCGCGAAAAATTACTTCGTCACAGGGGAATTCACCGGCAGGTCATCACTGCCCGCTCAGGATAATGGTGGCACTAGGCGCCGGAGATTGCTGAAGTTGTTAATGCTAAACAAAATTCCTATTTCATTTTGACCCAACTGTGAAAACCTCAGCAACCCCGGTGGGATTCGAGCCCACGAAAGCAAGGAGAGGACTAGAGTAGAACCGACGCTCTAACCACCTGAGCTATGAGGCCTCACCGCAAGACGCAAGTTCAATCACATTTGGGTCAAGTTACCCCCCAGCCTACTACAAAGTATGGAATCCACCAAAGCTGATAAATTAAGTCGACTGCCCATGGAGGATTTTCTAAGTAATCAGTCTTGAATCCACCAGACGTCTATCAGGCTCACGTGATTAACGGATGTATTGGCAGATTTTGAATAATTCATTTTGACCCAATTGTTACAAACTTGGCGGCCACTCCGGGATTCGAAACCCCGGCAGCAAGGAGAAGGCTTGAGTACAGCCAACTCTCTAACCACCATGCTGTTTGGTTGGAAACTAAAGCAAAATTCTATTTAATGCTTTACAAAACAGCGTAATAATTTTGAAAAATGTTCAGAATGAAGTTGTTTAAAAAAAGGTTACAGTCGGCAGAGTTAGTAGAATATCTGTCATACACTCTGTTTAGGTCAAACGTTCAGAACGGTGCGCAGGGTTGTGATTTCATAGCTGATTTTGCGTGCACTGGTACTGTAGCGTTAAAAGCCACACGCGCAACCAAACGTATTCACACATGTAGGTCAATTAAGCCGTCAGTGAGGTCGACAGACTGAGGGTGAAGCACCGTATTAAATAAATCCGGTGAGATTATTCGTCGCATATATGCAGAAAATTGTGAGTTATTCGGTGAAAATCAGCAGATGCATTCGACACGCGGATCGCAACTACCTGGTAATCATCGGGAGGTCAGGTTAACACGGTCACTGAAAGTAGGTAGCATCTGCTTAGCCACTCTCTCTGGTGGGTGACCGCAGTGCAGGATTACCGCAGGGCACGCATCAACAGCATCTAAAACGACAACTGCCTTTCAACCGAGACAGCCAACTGATCGATCAGCGGCTGAACCGACAATATCGAGAGGACCAAAACAGCTGCTTCTTTCAACTGTTGGTCGTCAGAACCGCGCAAGCAGGCCCTTGCCCTATTTGGGGAATGACAGTGCCCTATGACCTGAGGGAAAATGGGATGCGGTTGACCAAACGATTTACGCGCCAACTGTCGACGGGATGCTTTGAACGGTAACAACTGTCACACAGGACTCTATTGAAAAGTCAACTTTGACACATCTTTTCATCCACTATTGTAGAGGTGTCTTCCCTAGTGGTACAAAAAGTACTATGTTTAGGGATTGTTCTTCCGAATCAATTAATGCACGAATTCATGTGAAGTTTGAAGAGAAGGAGAGTCTACCTGACCCTTACGTTAAAAAATCCGCCGCGCGATAAGGTTTTAACTCGCAACGTTAAGGTTGTGGATTATAACTGGTGCTCTAACCACCTGATCTACGAGGACCCGACAAAGAATCTTGCGTTTTTCACATTTCAAATAAGTTAATTGCCCAGCAGCATACTCGATCCACCAATTCAAGCATGGTGGGCCGACCGTTCATGTGGATTTGCCTGGCAAACGCACCCATTAATCAGGACCATCAATGAAATGGGTCCAAAACACCAAAGAGGCCAACATTCCTCAAAACTAATGGCCACCTTTTATCCAGCATGACAGGGTGGAGCAACGCATTTCTTTTCTATTTCAGAGTCCTTCAACAAAATTCAATGCATGAGGTTTCCCATAAAAGCAGGGATCATTATCAAAGGAAATAAAGCCCCTAGACTTGAAATGGGTCCCATTCAAACTGCATGGTCAGTCAGTAGAAGTCAACAAATGAATGGTCTCGTCCAACATCAGTTCCCTCCTTACACCTATTCTGCCGGAGTTAGCGTAGGGAACGGTGTGTAGGAGACCTGAAAATGCCCTGCAACGAAGACCGAATGCACCTGAAAATTCGACAAATTATGTATCAGAAAAGCATTACTGGCGAAGACAAGGGAGACTGGAATTGCCATTACTGGCCTAGTGGCCGTCATCAGCTAGCCGTACCCAATCCCAGGTTTTATGTAACCCCTGAATAGTGTATCAGCCAGCGCATATTATTGCCTCTGCGGCTGGTCAGAAGTTTTTATTATCGTGAAGTTTTTACTACATACCTGACTTTGGACCCCTGACAAGACCTAAACACTCGGAAAGCTACCCCCTTCTACCGACGTCCGATTTCGTCCTCATATAATCAGTCAGAGATTTTCAGAAGACAGGACGCAGTTAAATACAGTGTGACTTATCGGGCTGGTTACTTAAAAGTACGATACGCGTACTTCCTTATGACCTGCATAGACAAAGCCATTAGCCAGATGCTCTCTCAGTCTCTTACATCAAACTCGCAATTCGGCGTGATGAGCCTGGATAAGATTAACGTATTTAGTATAGTTTTTGTCAAAAAGGGGCTTCCCGACTGATTACGAAAACCCTTTCATCCCCACAGTATACACTCACCAGCGCCTCGTTTGTGAGTGTTCAAGCTTCCATTAAGTCCAAAGATCACTTGTTTAACCCGCGGATGGGACACAGGACGAAAAAGCTACATACGTGCGCATGTGTTAGGGTCAATGAGGCGTTTAGGGGGCTTAAGGGGGTCCGGCTAGGGATACACAGTGTCGGGGTGGCAGACCGCTCCATGCGCCCCGTGCTAGTAGTGGCCGCTTTGCACGGCTCTTAAATGGTACTCAACTACCTTGTTTAATTTCCGAGAAAATGAATGCACGGTCCTTGATTAAATCCCTCAGAACGAAGATTTTTGGCTCGATTCGAAAGTTTATTTATGTATGTGGAATCGAGTCAGGGCAAATAATCGTTAGGAGTTATCCAAAACAAGCGCATGGATAAAATGTAAAAGGCAACGGAGATTCAGGTGGACGGTAAGAAAAGTTGAGGAAAAACAGGGTAAAAGCGGAATATGTTAAATTTAAGTCGAAGGTAGGAAGCCTATAAGTGGCATCTTGACTCACAAATACGGATGTCATATATCATAAGATTGCTGGTCAACGGTATAGAGAAGGAGTCCACCTAACTGTCAGTAGACTGTGGATCGTGTCATATGGGGTTTTATCTTGGCATACATTTGCAGGCTGTTGCAGAAATTACCCTGCCAACAACGATTACTTCCCACGACTTCACATTTTAACTCAGAATCCGTTATTTTGTGAAATTTACTTTTTGTTTATTGTTTAATTACTACTCTCATTTCCGTCGTCGTACAATAGCGTAGGATAAGACGTTCGGCATAAATTCAGGCAATGTCTGCGTTTTCTTTCGTTTTGTCAGCTTACTGTCTAGCGTGCTGCCCCACCCATAAAACTTCCTTTACTATAAATCACGTACGGCACGATCCACAGTCTAATGACAGTTAAATGGGGTCCTTCCCTATACCGCTGCCGATTGCAGCCCCACAGAACTCTACTTGAAAATTGGCAGAATAAGAATCAACAGCGGCTAGACACAAGGGATGAGGGTGCTAATGAGTCGCACTAGGCAAAAACGAATGAATGAAGAGCGGGCGACCGATATGAAAGAGAAAATATGCTCTTGATTTTGCATTTTTAACGAACAAGTCTCCCCAACACAGTCCTGTGTTACAACTCTCTCCTAACAAAAACTGACGGAAGTGGGTAGGTTTTTTTGACGAAACCCGCTCCTCTCAGCCACAGGACGCCTCGACAATGCTTCCGTTCAAGGTTCTCTCAATGGAGGAGACAGTCATAGGTCAGTTCGTCAGAGCATATGCAACCAGTGCTCAGAAGGGCTCAATTGACTGTCTGCACTTAGCTGCGAACCCGATCTCAAAAAATGGGTAGGTTCGGCATACACACAGGGCAGTCGTAAGAACCTCGGAGCTGCACTGCTGCAGACAGCGACGCCCAAAAGGTCGTGCTGTTTATCGCAACTCCACTGTCACGGTAGAGTTTGTCCAGTAAGATTGTTGTTTTTAAGGTGAACCTACGTATCCGGGGCCTAAGAAGGCGCAAGGAAAATTTACACCGTTCAGTATGTCAATACGCAGGTCAGTCAGTGGTTTTGCTAAGAGACTGCCCTGTGTGCGGGCAGAGTGAGACAAGGGAGACTAGAATGTCCACTTCTGGCCTTATAGCCGTCATCAAGCAGCCACACCAAACCCCAATATTGGAACCCCTAGAATTCGGGTCGGGGATCCTTGGTCAATAAGTCGAAGGCTTTATCAGTTGAGTAACGAGCTTCTTGTTCTGTCGGTTGCGATCTGGAAGATTGGCAGTAATCTCGTTTTTGCCTATACTACTAGTTGCTCTGCGACTGCCCGTGGGGCTTTTATAGGGTTCCACCAGCTGCCAGAGAAATGTCACGAAATGCGGGCATACATCTAAAATGCAATCGAGGACATGACGAAAGCTTTTGACACGGCAAACTAGGGTAGACACTGGAAAACCATACAGAAAGCCGGATGTCCTGAGCAGTTCACGCACAGGGTGCTTCAACTCCACGACCGCATAATGGAGTGTGTCGCAGACCGTTCGACCATCTAAGAAGCATAGGCAATAACCAACGTATAGAGCAGGGTTACATACTTACTCCCACCCTCTTCAGCCTTGTGTTCTCTGCACTGCTGATGGACACCTACAGTACGTGACCTATGTCATGAAACCTGGTGACGGAAACTGATGTGAGAATTTCTGGACGTCTTTAACTTTGAGTATTCGCTTGCTCATCCAGCCCCTTCGATGAAATGTCCTTTTCTTGTGCAGAAATTGTGTTTACGTAAGTATATCCAGCAAAATATTAATAAATTTTAGCGAAAATGGACGTTGCAATGTATTTGTGCAATTTCCTATGCTAATACCTATCCTAGACTTCGGCTGCGCATCCGAGCGTGTTTCTCATTGAAAGGAGAGTAATTTGCCCGCGAGAGTTTTAATAAACAGAGGTTGCCAGATTTGAAAATTTACTTTATGTCCGATGCTAACCGTGGTAATCAACTTGCTAAAACAAAGGTTATTTTAAGAGAACCATATGTTCTATCGATTTTTAAAAGTCCTTTTAACAGGTCAACAGAGTGCGATATTAAAGCACTTCTCAAAGATGTGACTTACTAGAGAAAGTTTTCTTATTGATCGAAGGCGTATTCGTTGCTGTATTTCGTTATGGACTGCCGTTTTATTTGAAAATGAAGTCTCATGTTTGAATGAGTCTTTAAATGTGACCTAAACCTCCTTCCTTATGAAAAAGATCGCCCAAACACTCACTAATCCGGTAAACGCCTTCAAGAAGTATCTTATTTTAGAGTTTGTAACAGAAAGATTTGGAAAGAAATTCGGAATTTGTCTTTATGGGCGATGGGAGGGGGGGGAAGGGGGGACACTGAAAATAATGAAGTATTCAGCAATATTTTAAGGCCGATTTGAACCTCAACGAAATCCAAAACGAACAAAAAGTGCAAATTAATTGGACGGAAGAAAAGTTCTCTCTACAGACACAAAATGCTTTGTTTACGACCACGCCTGTCAGTTCTATTTACATTTATTAGGTACCGATCCGCCTGGCAGCATGTGGCCCTATGGAAACGTTTGTTCCAACGACGTCCCAATTGGCGAAATCAAGCAAAATTCCGTTTCTCTTGTTAAACCGCATCTCATTCAACTCAAACAAGTCATGAATACCACGAATCTCTGGAAGACTGTTTTGGAATCTATACTCAGAATGTAGGCTGTTCTCAAACCGTCATACATGAAATTGCACTAATTCTTAAAGGATATTTAGATACAAACTTCACTGAAACATTATTTTTGAACGTTATTTTATGTGTACTTTCATATTTACTACGTTTTTTGCACGAGAAGAGAGTCTATACATCTAAAAGCAAAGTTTACTACATTAAGACCATTTTTGTCGTTTTCGGGATTTTTCGATTTTCTAAAAACGGAATTTTGGAGCAGGACAACACTGACTTCATTATTTCTTTCATGTTTTTGATTCTTTCAAAGCAGTACTTAATTAACATAGACGTTGGGTCCATGAATTGGTGTCGGTTTACGAGTGGTTTGCAATCATTCTTAAAGTTCGACATATATCATGGCTTTCCCTAGTCCTGTCAGCCACCTCTTCCAAACTCAGCGTCAGTTGGTTGACCGGCTCGGAAAGTCGACTGCAGCAAGGAAAAGGGTGCAATGAGTGAGGTCGGCTCTCAGCGCATAATTCCCCACTAGAAACAATCGAACGCTCTTAAATCTACCACTATGTGCTAAAAGCCGTGCCTTGGAAGGCTGCCAACTGACGGGATAGCATGTTTATCATCGGAGGATGGAAGGCTAGGCTGCAATGGCTCCTCCTTTTTGTGGTCTCTATGGCAGTCCTAGTCAGTTGGGATCCGGCCATCCCCCTTTTTCTTGTTGTATAAAATTCTGGTTCCTTTTTACGTGGTTGAGCAGGGGGTGGGGGGGTGGTACGCCTAGGTGCGGTTTTCCTGTCGTGTCAGCTACCTGCTCTCTCTTCCACCTCTAGTGTTCTTGAATCTGTCATAATACAAGGTTCATGTGGGAGAGCAGGAGGGAGTGCGATTGATGCTATACACGTCTACTATTACTATAAACTTACGTACACGCAAGTCACAGTCCCTGCTATCATCCCGCTGTGGGTCACACAGTGGTCATCGCCGGAAGCGACGGTCGTATTGTCACATCAAGCGGAAAGGCACAACGAAACGAGCATGTCCCGTATCGCGATCGGTGAACGCAATTCAAACATAGTTGATTTTCCCGATCGGAACCGAGAGGACAACGAGCCCTGGGTCAATGATTAAGGCATTCGTCTCGACGACCTATGGTCCCCAGTCTGAATTGCAGATCATCCCAAATTGGGGTTGGGTGTGGCTGGCTGATGACGTCAAATAAGCCAGAAATAACGACCCCAGTCTCCCATGTCTTTGTCGATAATAACATTCAGCACATACTCGACAATGCCCTGTTCAAAGCTTAGTCATTGGAGAAAGCCCGTTAGTCAGCGAATCCAATCCGATTTTTGAACTGTGACCAGTCCCTTGTAGTTTTGGTTATAATTACTCAGTAAATGGGAATTCCAAGTAGGAAGAGATTGCCACCGAGCACCGTCGTGCCGCGCTGCCTCCACCGGGGCAAAAATACCCGCCCCATAGGATGCAGTTTTTCCGAGCATTTCTGCAGAATCTCATACACTCTCAATCAGCCGGTCCAGTCAATAGCAGGACCTCAATCAGACTGAGAAGGAGTGAAAATACCCTAGGTGACGATGAGCAACCAATTCAGGCAGCTTCCAAACTTTCCTAATTGATATTCAAAGTTGATCGACAATTGTATTGAAGGTCTGGCAGTATGGATGTTTACGTTGTGCACAGACCGTGGAGGTCCAATGTGGCATTGACTATATCTACCCTTGTTGGAGCAACAGCAGCAACCTGTGACCGTTTTTGTTCATTTCACCTGGTGTTTCTCCAGGACGGTGTTTTATTGGATGCTGCTAGCAATCTTCTGGGTCAAACGGAAAGCCAACAAGCAATACAACACTAAGGCAATGTATGCATACACGAAACGAGAGCGAAATCACTTAATGTCTACGTAACAAATCCTTCTTCTTATGCCTTCCCCTCGACAGGTTGTGGATGATATGAGGGTTGGGGGACGACGACGACGACAGGGATTTCCTACACGTAATGTCGAATTAATTTCCAAACTCCTTGAACGATGTGCAATTAAGATTTTGAAAATTTAATTGTCAAAATCATGTTCGACTTCGGAAGTCCTAGTTTGGGTGACAAATTGGCCTGCAGCAATGGGAAAGGCGTGCGGAGATAGGGAGTTTTCAAACAGCCTAGCCCTTCTCCAAACGTGCACAGGATGAAAAGAGGGCGACTGAGTGGAACGGACTTAGATTGAAAAGAAAATAGGAGGCAGTATAACGAGGCACTTTCCATGGATCCCGTAGACGGACAAGTTGGCCAATAAAAGAAGACAATCGCACGAAGCGTCCATGGTGATCAGACATCCTTTGTCTTTTGTGACGCGAAGAAGAAACGAGATTTGGAGCAAAGTTAGTCCTAATCCTGCTGTGATGGGTCTTATTCTTCAAGCTATAATTTCGACCAGTTTTTCTTAGACTGTGTGCACATGTACCTGAATCCACATGAAAAATTGGTTAGTCATTTCGTTTCAGGACAGTGAAGATTGATTAAGAGAAGACCATCGGAGCTGTCAAGTCAAGACCACAATCACCGAATACATAAGTGAAGAGTCTGCACTGTACCAGCCAGAGCACCAGTATTTCCCATGACGCACCAGCCAGGTAAGTTTATTGTTTGACCTGCTCCCCTGGGAACCGGACACAACACCTTATTAAGTATGTAAGCCACGATCACGTCCTGAAAACTGACGTGAGTGGGATGGGTTCTTCGACGAAACCCAGTCCTCTCACGGCGGCAGGACGCCTCGACAATGTTTCTGTTCAAAGCTTACTCAAGGGAGAAGGCAATCGTAGGCCAGTTCGTCAACGTATCCGCAAACACCACTCCGAAGGTTCGACCGACTGTCCGCGTTTAGCTGTAGATCTGATCTCATAAGGAATAAGCTCGGCGTGTACACGATGTAGTCACAATTTCCTCGAAACTGCAGAGTTGCAGACGGCTACGTTCAACAGGTCGTGCCGTGCATCTTACCTCCTCTCTTGCTGTGAAGCTTGTCCAGTATGATCGTTGTTTCTGTAGCGAACCTTCGTAGTCAGGGCCTAGTAAGACGCAAGGAAGATTTGCACTCGTCAGTAGGTCAGTGCTCAGGTCAGTCAATGTTTTTGTTAGGAAGGTTGGAGACTGCCGTGTTTAACAGCCGTTAGGTTCCCGCCCCGACAATACCATGTCGGTGACATGCATCTGGCTGATAGAGCTACCTAACCGGTTAACGAGGCAACCAAATCTGCATGATTGCTCTTACCCGCCGCCACTCAAAAAATGCCCGAATATCATCTCTGGATCCCTACTCCAACGAATTTATGACTGTTAAATTAACCCCGACTTTGAGTAGAAAAGAAGAGGAGGTTGACTGAAGTTGGCGCACAAAAGAGTATGCAGTGCAAAGGAGCAGATGAGTGGAAGTTAGAGATGAAGGAGATAATGTGATCTTAGTTCTGAATGTTTGACAAAAGTCTCCCCAACATTGTGCTTTAGGGGAAGCCAAAACGTCCGTTTCTCTTTCTCTCTCTTTCTTGATTAGTGAACTATGCTTGTCGTGCAAAGCTTAATTCGCTCTCAACACTCTGTGTATTAATGTAACCTCGAGACTGTCATGCAGTATCACGAGCACACAAGGAATCGCATTGATAGCATAGGCGGCAAATAATTAGTCTCCTGTGGTAAAGGAGAAAATTGTTTGTGGGCGGACAGAAGGGACTGGGAAATGGCAGCACGCCTTGAGAAACCCGCTGAATAATTTTGACGAGAATAGGAAAGGGGGGGGGCGAGGGGGCTGCCTTTTATATTCCAATTAAGGAAATAGCATTACTGATGATGATGATGATGATGATGATGATGATGATGATGATGATGATGATGATGATGATGATGGTGGTGGTGATGATGATGAGAAAGAATCTAGAGAGTTTGTGTGTGCCTGCTGGGTCGTTTGGCTGATCTGACACCAGCCCCCACATTCGGTCTTCAACGCACCCTAGGCTGGACACTTCGTAGTTATGTTTGTTTTCTGTTAGCTGACCCACCCTTGCAAGACGTGCATTTGTGAAATCGATCGGACGCACAGGGGCAAAACAACATTCCCTCGCTCAAAAAATCTCACACACAGTTGACTGGTATGCCTACCCTAACTCTCATGGGGAACGTTTTACCCAAGAAGTGACTGCCATTTAGGTGATTCACGTCTCTCTCTCTCTCTCTCTCTCTCTCTCTCTCTCTTTTCAGGGGTGGTCGCTTACCCGAGTTCATACATCGTCTGACGATGGGCCAGTATGCAGCACAGCTGCTTGTGAGTAAGGTATAGGATCAAGACAGCTTGGGAAGCTTTTTCTTAGTGGAAGTTTTGGATAGTCTTTGACAATCTGCCCGCGTAGTCTCTTGGGAGGCTGAAACGTAAGAGTGCCTCAAAATGCCTTCGGAGGTGAATTACACACCTCCACTCAGGCTGATGAGATGGGAGAGTAGGCTTATATTTTCAAGTAGGCGAAATTTCCGACGAAAATAACTCGAAGTGGCATGGCCTACCACAAGTGAGGAATGTAGGTGTACTTGCTATTTAAATGAACATTTGCAATGAGATCTTAATTTCGCTTAAGGACGCGTGGACGCAGAAAACAAAGGGCCGCAGAATTTGAACATACGTGACGCATAATATTAAACGACTAATAAAAAAGATTATGTTATGCGGCGATTGACGTATTACGAGGTATACCCTTGTAAAATGCATGGTTTGCATAAAATTGAAAAAAATATTAGGTACTTTCGAGAAATATAAATGAGTACAAACCAGCAGAATTTTACTGGATTCAGATGCGACAATGAGTCTCTGCTAGACAGATTGTACAGCGTGGATGTTACCTGAGAATAATCTATTAAGACGATGGTTGTTCTTGTACTAGGGAGCTCTTTTGCCCCGAACAAGGTCTTCTTGATAAAAAGAATGTATTCTAAAGTAGTTTCAGACCCGACAATCTCATGCGAACAAACATTTCAAATTGCACGCGCGGAGGCCTTGCTCTATGTTTAATGTGACCCGAAAAGCACGGTATGCAGACCCCTATGGTGTATGTCTGTGGATTCGTGGGAAACCATCGTCCTGATGGAGGCGGAGGAGAATGGCTGGCTGCCCATGCGTCCTCGACAATATGCCCCCATGGGCACTCAACTGTTTATTGTACTCCTCGTAAATCGTCACATGGGCTGTGGCACGTGCATCCCAGCATTCCAAGACAATCAACCAACAGCAGTTTCTGCAAACTGTCGTGTTGTTCCGGCATACCCTAGTGCGATTTTTACTGCAGATGATGATTTGGGTCACTTTGTTGATTTCCATAAAGTTGAACTCTCATAACTGAAGTTAGGCAGTCTTCCAAACGAATTCCGACGTCGTAGTTAGGCTTTAATAATTAAGAGAAGACGTTAAGGCAACCACTAAGGCTGGGTCAAGTTTCTTCATCTTCTACCTAACTAGAGTCACTGACATTTAGTCCCCCTATTTCCAATGAAGTCAAGGCGACAGTAGCTATCGACGACGGGAAGCCAGTACTATGCAGTGACTAGGAAAGACTATACGATAGGTAACACTAAGAGCTCGAAAGACGATATTTACTTTGTAAGAATTTCATGCAATAAGGAAATTGTGCGACCCAAATCTACTCATATTACAGGTGGCCCGGAGGGCTGTTACAGGAGATCTAGCTAGAAGCCAGACCAATCCATGCTTTTCTACTCTAGTAGAAAATCGTTAGTGCGAGGACAGAAGGGACAGGGAAATGGCAGCACAATTTGAGAAACCCGCTGAAGAATTTTGACGGGAATAGGGAAGAGGGAGTGCGAGGGTGCCGCCTTTTAAAGCATCATTGATTATGATGATGATGATGATGATGACGACGACGACGACGACGACGACGACGACGACGACGACGACGACGACGACGACGACGAAGACAACGACGATGATGATGATGATGAGAAGGAATCCAGAGAGTTTGTGCATACCTGCTCGGTCGTTTGGCTGATCTCGCACCAGCTTCCACTTTCGGTCTGCTAAGCATCATTGGTTGGACACTTCGCGGTTAGGTTTGTTTTTCGTGAGCTGACTCGCCTATGCAAGACTCATGTTTTTGAAATCGATCTGACGCACCAAGAGCAAAACAACATTTCACTGCACAAAAATCACACGCGTAGTTGACTCCTACGACTACCCTCACTCCGACGGGGAGCATTTTACCTAAGCAATGACCGCCCCTTCGAGGCGGATTCATGTTTCCCATTCTTTTCACGGACGATCGCTTATCTGCCTGCATATATTGTCTGACGATGTGTCAGCATGCTACGCATTTTATTTTAAGAGAAGTGATCAAGACAGTTGTAAGGCACTTTCCTGACAGTTAGTTTTGGATAGTCTTTGACCATCTGCCAGCCTAGACTCTTGGCAGGCTGAAACGTGAGAATGTCATCAAATGCCTTCGCAGGTGATCAACACGCCTCAACTAAGGCTGATGAGACGGAAAGCAGGCTTATATTTTCAAGTAGGCGACATATCCGACGAAGATAACTCGAGGTGACACGGCGTACCACAAGTGAGGAATTTAGATGTGCTTGCTGTTTAAATGAGCCTTTAACACGAGATGGCAATTTAGCGGGAGGATGCGTGGACGACGTCCTTTAAATAATGCGAGTAGACGACGTTTCAGTTGGTCAAATATGTCGAATTAAGTTCCAAACTCCTTGGATGATGTGCACTTAAGATTTTGGAAATATAAGTGTCAAAATCATGTTCGGCTTCGAAGTCCTAGTTTAAATGGCAAAGTGGCCTGCAACAATGGGAAGGGTTTGTCAGTTTCCTTGGTTAGATCATAATTAAGTAATTAGTGAATGGAGACATAAGAGATGGAGGTCCACTTTACGTAGTCTGCCATTGTGAGGATAGTGAAGCGTCCTACAGGTGATACAGAGACATATGAGCAAGTTAGTTTGTACCGAAATTCCGAATAACAGACAGAGGTCTGGTAGGGTTTTATTCGTCGGTGAGATTTGCTATACGTTTATGAAACCGTTCACGAGCCCCTAGAAATTAGGGGGGAATTTACCAAGGGAAAACATTAACTCTTAAATGTTGATTGACGGGGCACGTGACTCTTAGTCGATGACATCTGATGTAATGTAGCGTGCGTTTTTCCTCTGATGATTCACCTGTATGTGCAAGTTGACTTTTACCGAGTTTCTTTGAAGGGAAAGTACTTCAGTCGTTTACTTGTGGTATCTGTTGTCCCGCCACTCACCTGAGGTGCTCACCTGCTGTCCCACAAGAAGTGTACTGTGCTGTACTGTATCTCTTCCCGTGACCCCTCTCCCCCCTTGGGAGTGGCGAAACGATGCCAAGACCACCCACGATGAGTTTGGGCTGAGGCTCTTAAACAGCTCGCCTACTCATGCCAGGCATGAGGTGGTCCTTGAGTCCACACGCACTGGGATTACTTTAGGATGAATCCAATCTATATAAACTAATTCGTGCACAATTCATCGCCCATGCTGCGAGGCACATGGTGGATATAATCGGCGACAACCGTCCAACTGTTATGTTTCTGTTTGCCAGTCTTTCTTGAACGTAGGACTGATTCAGTAACTGCACGTATACAGTAGATGACCTGACGCACACAAGTAGGCGTAAATTCATGAAAAATTCAAAATAATTCCGAAACTGACCTAGATACGTCGATCAAAGCAACCAGCTAAGCTTAGCGTCAAATAAAGTTGTTTGATTTTAGAATTATGGAATTTATGTCCGGCATCGGCCAGGGTGAAGGATTTTACTTAACCGTTGGTAGACTGGGTCGCGTTATATGGGGATTTATGTTGGCATCTATCTGCAGGCCGTTGCAGACATTACACTGCCAACAGCAATTACTTCCTCTGACCTTAAACCATTACTCAAACTCTGTTATTTCTTGAAATTTGATCTTTGTTCGTTTTTTTTGACCAAGGTGCTCATTTCCATCTGCATACGAAAGCGTACGAAACGATTTTCGGCAGAAATCCAAATAATTTCTGTGTCTTCTTGCATTTCGTCAGCTTACTGTCTGGCATGCTGTCCCACCCGCAAAACGTCCCATTACCGCCATGCTCACAATCCGCAGTCCACCGGATAACTAAGTGGGGTCCTTCGCCCTACCGTTGCCTTACGTAAGTCCATTTAAACAACGAAAGAACTGGTGCGATTATACGTCAAAAGACACATCTGAAACACTGGGGGTCGCATGGGTGAGCTGGACCCCAGCGCAGCTGCGATATGCAGATGTACGAGTTCGGCGAAGCTCGTTTCCTGGATTTTGGCTGGTATTCTTGCTTCAAGGGTGGTAAATAAACCACTACGCATGCATTACTGATCGCCCACTGGCAGACCGGAAACATTACGTGGTTATGCCAGTGAAATTCGGTTGACTAAGGCGAAGATAGTCTTTTTGATTTTGTACATATGAACGCAGCACAAATACTGTTTTAATAAGATCACATATCGAGATGACGGTCAGCGACTGAAAAATGGGAATACGCTTAGCAGATACGATCACAAGCATGCCACTTTTTGTGTATCAAGGGAAATTTTCATCCGCCGAATTACTGTACAATTTCCAACATCAATGGAGTCCATCGAACTTCTAGGCGTTCTTGAAATTCAGAAGATGAAGATGCGATCACTGGGGCAAGAAGTTTATTGGCCTGACGTTTCGGGTTCTCACTAGAGCCCATCATCAGAGACATTCGCAGATAGAGGTAAAGGTGGCACCAGGAATGCAGTATTTATAGCACGTGGCTGCCGTGGGACCGTATGCGCACTGCAATTAACAGTTCTCACAATCGCCGCTGGGGTCGTAATTGATGCGGCTGTGGCTTGGCGGTCCGAGTCCGAGTTGTTAATTGCCGCGATTTCGTCA